GTCTGGAGCTTTTTTTATTTATTCTTGGTAACCGCTTTTTAACAGATGTGTTGGTGTTGTCGTTAGATGCCGTCGAGCCGGTCCTGTGCCCTCCTCACCGTGGTTGCTGTGTGGTCCCTTGGTGCAGCCTCTGTGTGAATCCACCTGGCTGAGGGTCTTCCTCTTTTTCTCTGGCCCTCTGCTTCACCAGCACGATGTCTCTTCTCAGGGACCGGTCTCACCTAATACCATGTCCCAAATGCATGAGACAAAGTCTCACCATCCTCTCTTCTCAGGAGAAATCTGGCTGTTTCTTACACAGATTTAGATTAATAGGTATGTTGTTGTTGTTGTTATTTGCTGTCGAGTCGGCCCCGACTCATAGCGAGCCCTCCTTGGGTTTCCGAGGCAGTTATCACTACGGAAGTAGGATTGCCCAATATAGAAGATTGGATTTTTTTTTTCTTTAATATAAATTTTATTTTTCAAAAAATGAGTCTGTTTCACCTAAACTGTCAAATTCTATTTATTGGCCTGAGATTATTGATAGAGTCCTCTTATCAGGATACACAAATGTCTCTTTATTGTGCCGTGTATGTTTTATATATATATATATATTTCCCCCTGTGTTTCCTCCTTCCAAGGATCGTATCTTGCAGTCCTGCTCCCTTGGTAGAGTTGTTTTTAAGGCTTTGTCTAAGTGTTCTGGTTGTACTTAGCAGGGGGATTGCTTGGACACTACAAAATCTCCTGCAACTTACATCAAAACTCTTCTATGAAGTGTTTTCAGTGGAGGAGAAACACAACTAGATGTACATTATAGGAGGGCTCTTCGGTTCATTCTGAAAAATGGATTTGAAGGCAGAAAGGCTGAAAGCTAGGAAGTTATTTTGCAATATAACAGATAAGATCTGACAAAGCTTTGAATTTTGAAGTGAGGTGAGAGAAGTTAGTGGAGCAGAAAATGTTTAGAAGGAAACACCTCCAGTATTTCATTGGTTACATGTTAAGGAAGGAAAATGAGAGAGCAGGGAAGACGCTCAGGTTTCTAACTTTGGTGCTGGATGGAAATAATTGTGACAGAGAATAGAGGAGGAAGATTGGTGGTTGTAGTAGTTAGGTTGTGTGTCAACTTGGCTGGGCCTGGTTTTGAGCGGCTGGGCAGCTGGATGAAGTGATTCCCCATGATTAGACCGGTAATCAGCTCCATGGTGAAATCGCTGAGAAGCTTCCTTGGGGATATGGTCTGCTTCCAGTATAGAAGGAGAAGCTTGAGAAAGGTCTCTGAGCTTTTTGGCATGCTTAGATCCTGCATTTAGCCAAGGCTTCATTCTGCCATAACTGCCATGTTGCCTTGTGATCTGGGGACTGTTTCTGGACTTGAGCTGGTGGCCTGCTTTGTTGCTTGATAAACTTGGGACTGTGGACCTTGGGTTTGTCAGCCTCAGCAGCCAGCAGTTGCCTGAGTGAAGAGACGCCTCCAGCTCCAGTGGAACTCTGGGAATAAGAGGCAGAGCTGAAGCCCAAGGTCAAGGGGCCTTCACCCAGCCCCTAGGGCCAGCACTTTGAACTCAGACTTCTAGCCTCCTATACTATAAGAGGGGAGCTCTCGTAGCCTAGTGCCTAAGGGATTTGACTGCTAATGAGAAGACTGGTGGTTCAAACCCACCAGCCACTCCTTAGAAGGAAAATTGGGCAATCTACTTCTGTAGTGATACTGCCTTGGAAAAAACCCAAGGAGGGGTCACTCTGAGTTGGATCTGACTCGATGGCAGTGAGTTTGGTTTTGGTTTCATACTGTGAGAGAATGAATCCCTGCATGTTAAAGCCGTCCATTTGTGGTACGTCTGTTACAGCAGCACTAGAGAGCCAGAATGTTGGTAGTTAGTATATCAAATGCGGAACATTACGAATTCCAATTTCCAATTCCAGTTGCCCACAAGAGATCCAGGTGGAGGCTTGGTGTAGAACCCTAAGGGTTCGAATGATGCATCTGAATATATTGCTGTGATATTTATCAACATATACATGGAAGTTGAAGCCACAAGAGTAGATGAAATTACACAAAGAGAGGGAGGAGGGTAGTGGATTGAGTTCTGAAGAATGCTAGCATATAAGAGGTAAGAAAATAAAAGTGGGAACACATAGAAGAATCAGAAGAATCAGGTCATCAGAAATCCATAAAGAAAGGACCAAGAGAATAAAGTGAGGAAGCCAAGGGAGTAGAGTTTTCAGAAGGAAGGGAAAATCGAAAGTAAGTCAGTTTACCTGTTAAGCGCGATGGAAAATTCAGGAATGGTTACTGGTGATGGTTGAATAACTTGAAGAACATAATTTGTGTCACTGAACTGTTCATGTGAAGATTGTAGAAATGGCAAATGTTTTGTTATCTGTATTTTTACCACCCAAAAAAAAAACAAAAAACAAAAAACCTCAGTGCCATCAAGTCGATACACCTCATAGCAACCCTTCCTTGGGTTTCCAAGGCAGTATTACTACGGCAGTAGATTGCCTAGTCTTCCTTCTGAGGAGTGGCTGGTGGGTTTGAACTGTCACAGAAAAAGTAAGAGAAAGGATATTGAACATGGACAAGCCAGACTGTTATGGGCTGAGATACAGTGTGAGGCATGAAGGTAGAAGCAATTAGGAATAATCAACCCACATCTTTTTCTTAAACTTGAACTTTATGCTGCCTTACCTTCAGTTTTTAATCCAGTATTGCTCAAGTAACTGCAATGCTAATGCGTTTTCTGAGGCACCCTATAACACCTACAACAGTAAGTAGCTTGTGAAACTACTAGGGCACAAACACTTGACTGTGAGAATTATGACTCTCTAATGAGGTAGATTGATGCAGTAGCTGCAACAATGGGCTCAATGATAGCACCAATTGTGAGGATGGCATAGGACCAGGCAGTGTCCCATTCTCTTGTACATGAAGTCACTGTGTATGAACTGACTTGATGGCACCTAACAACACTGACATGACATCGCTCTGAGTAGGACTTGACTTTGTATACAACAACAATGATACAAGTACCACAGTGGAGGCCTAGTAAGCTATTTTAGTGGAGAGGAAGTTTTGATTAACTCTGTGCTGTGGTATGGCAGTAGTAATGGAGGGGGACTCAAAAGTTTTCACAGAAAAATGTGAAAATGGAATTTTTTTAATGGAAATTTTTTAATTTTCTTTTTTTTTTTTTTAATTGTGATTTGGGTGAAAGTTTACAGAGCAAATTGGTTTTCCATTCAATAGTCCAGATGCATTCTGTTTTGTGACATTTACTGCAGTCCCCACACTGTAACAGCATTCTTCCTACTTCCTGCACCCAGCCCTTCCCTCCGTTCTTCTTTCCCATCCCCTCCCAGGTAGCCCAGGCAGCTTTCTCCTTTACGTGGTGGCATTACTGCCCTTGCAGCTCGCTTGCTATTTGTCTTTATGTTGCCACCACCCTTTAATTGCTCCCAGACATTCTTTGGGGTTTTCTTCTGATTTCACTGTCCTTCAATTCTCACAAAAGGAATGAGTTAAAAGAGTTCTGAAGGAGGGTGTTTTGGACCCTACATTCCCTGTGTACTGTGAAGGCTTGTTTTACTGAATTATTTAGGTGGTAAAATTTATTTCTACTTTAAAGGCATTTAATCATCCTCCTTGAGATGATCAAACATCACTTTTAAAAGCTCCAATTTCATTGTTTGGCCAGTCTTCCCTTTAGATTCAGAAAGGAATTCTTAATCCATTTCTGTTACCACTTTAAATTTTTATGCCCCCAGAAGATAATAATTCATTCATATTCTTGATAGTTATATGATTAAAAATTAATTCATCAGCCTCAAGGCCTAATGTCTAAGTTATTATCTTCACATTTCAGGTGAATTGAATAGCACTTCTGTCCTAATTTATTTAGCATTTCCTTGTCCCTAAATGCTAAATATATGTGTCCTTAAGCTGGATGTACCTGTGTGTGTGTGTGTTTGTTTTTCATTGCTGATTTTATGAGTTTTGTAATTCATCTATTTAGAATTAATGACATGAAATTTTTACTGCTTTGGAAATTCTGATAGTCATATTAGTGTTCATTACCTAAACAATTTACTCTCTCCATTAATCCCAGAAAGTTTCTTGAGGGGTGGGGTTTCTTGTCTACAGAAGGTAGATGTACTGTAACAGACTTCCTTGCTATCACTGCATATTGTGCTGTCACCCCAGCAATTTTGTGTGATATCCTGAAGTATTGCAAAATAAGGTGCCATTCATTCAGTTTTGGATGCTCCATAGTTGCAACCTGAATGGTAAATGTGAATATGGTGACTTCATGGAAAACAGTATTTTGACTTTATTTTACTGCTTTCTTTCACAGCAATTCCCCAAAGACACAATCAATGAAGAAGTGATAGAATTTTTGAGTCCTTACTTTGAAATGGCAGACTATAACATCGAAACAGCCAAACGTGTATGTGGGAATGTGGCTGGTCTTTGTTCCTGGACTAAAGCCATGGCTTCTTTCTTTTCCATCAACAAAGAGGTGTTGCCTCTGAAGGTGAGGCTCCTAGGTTGAACTGCATGAAACGCTCCTGTGAAGGGTCTCTTGGTCAACTGGTCTTATCTTTTCACTAGAGCACAGGAGCACGCAGCCTCTGTGTCTTTCTGCCTGAGTCCACAGGGAGAGCAAGGCACAGATGGGCTAAGCACAGGATGTTGCTTGCTTCTGTGTAATCCTCCTCTAATCACATTTGTATGAGCCTTAAGAATGAACTCTCTAGAAGGATACTAAGTCCGCTGTGGGGTGCTAGATATTTTCCCTCCATAATGTCAATTTGAAATTGACACAGGAATCTATACCTGTAATCTTCCAAGATCACCCACCAATGGAAATGTGTAAGTGAGGCAGAGTCAAGAAATAAGATACTAGTGGCTGGAATAGGCCTAAAACTGATCTTATTTGCAGAGAGTGAGAGAGTGTCCCTCCCCTTCTTCCATGTTCCGCAGGAGAGAAACTGAATCTCACCTATTTGTTCTTTAATGTGACTTGGAGACTATGCCTTATGTTTCTCTTTGGGTAATTTCATCTCAAGCTGTATTGGTTTATGGTTCCCCAACATTAGAAGACACTCAGTTTTCAACAAATGAAGAGACAAGTACCTTTTTGGGAAATGAAATACTGATGCCTCAGAAACCCATCTGATAGGCTGGTTGCCCATGCAGAAGCCTACTGTTCCTGTAACACCAACTAAAGATCCACTTGCCCTTGTAAACTATCCGAGAGGATGTAATCCTGATGAAAAATGATCAGGAATGGAAGGAATAGGGATCGAGAAGTGAATGCCATTTGCTTTTTAATCAGAACCATATCAGAACCATTTTTATAGTAGGTGGCACCCTTGAGGTCCTAGGGCAACCTAGAACCAAGGTCTGTGTGTCTCAGAGAACTTTAGAGCCAATGATTGATGTCATACTGCCCAACATCATGGGTATTGAAACCATTGAAGACTCCAGCATAGTTCAAAAATGGACTCTCTGATACTGATTGAACCTTAACCACCATATCAAATGCAAGGTGAAGGCTATCCTTTGCTAACTTTTCCAGTGAGTAATTCACAGTGTCTTACAGGTCACTACTGTTGAACTCATGATATATCATTTTTATTTTGTTCTAGTTATCTCATATAACCCACTGCCATTGAGTCAATTCTGACTCATAGCAACCTCCATTGGGTTTTGGAGGTGGTTAATCTTTACAAAAGTAGATTGCCCAGTCTTGCTTCCACAGAGTGGCTGGTGGGTTTGAACTACCAACCTTCTGGTTAGCAGTCAAATGCCTTAGGCACTGTGCTACCAGAGCTCCATCTGATGTAGAGTGGACTCAAATCAGTAGTAAAAATGGACATTCTGACCAAGGCTTACATAAGAGCTATGAAATCTCCTCCTCTATATTCAATACAAGGAGCTCTGGTTGCACAGTGTTCATCTGCCAACTGAAAGGTTGGTGGTTCCAATCCACCAACCACTCTATGAGCAAAAGATGAAGCAATCTTCTCTCGTAAAGATTTCAGCCTAGGAAATCCTGTGGGGCAGTTCACATCTGTCCTATAGAGTTACTATGGTTCAGAACCAACTCAATGGGACAGGTTTTTGTTTTTGTTTTTAATGTTTGGTACCTTCCATTTGAGCCTCCCCCCAACTCCCAGCCCCAGGATGGAGATCAGAAGTGAAGGCAACACCAGCAGGAGGTGGGAGAACATTTTACTTGCTGCTGGAACCTGTGCTCCTCCCTCTGATAGGTCTGTCCTGAGAGTTGGTGCTGGTGTGTGCCATCAAATAGTTTCCAAGTCATGTTGACCCCACGTGAAAGAGTGGAACTTCCTTATAGGGTTTCCTAGGTTATAATCTTCACAGGAGTAGATAGTCAGGTCTTCCTGCCATAGTCTAATGATCATCCAGCATCAGGCAGCAATCAGCTTGTCTCCTATTGTCATAAACCCACACACCCTCCATACTCACACGGGAAGAAGTAAGAGTGCTACACGACACAGGGAAGGCAGTTTGTCACTGGGTGACTTTGCTTAGTGTATAGGGAAATGCAGACTGAGCCTCCAACTTCACTTACTCCAGGAGGGGCTTCATTTGCAGACTCCTACTTCCAAAATGAGGAGGGGTCAAATATCCTCCCTAAACTCCAGTTGGAACCGTCCCAATACTAATTTGCAACAGAATCATCTTACAATCCATATAGCTGGACTAAGTGGTTTCTAGTAGTGAATAAATTTAAGCAAACATTGGTGACAGCAATAACAATTTAGATTCTGTTAATGTTCATTATCCACCACTCATCTGTCAGTTTGTCACACTGTCGTGGCTTGTGTGTTGTTGTGCGTTGACAGGGAACTGCCAGAAACTCAAGTTGGATACAGAAGAGGGCATGGAGTGTGGGATAATATTGCTGATATCTTGCCTGAAAGTAAAGAATTACCCATGTTTTATTGACTACACAAAGGCATCCAACTGTGTGGATAACAAATTGTGGATAACGTTGCAAAGAATGAGCATTCCAGAGCACTTAATT